ACAAAACTATGAATTCCAGAAATGCTTCTGATGACAAGAGAATATTCTTCAAAGTGGTGGAAAAAAATTATTAAGGGGGTTTCACTCATTCAAGATGGAACTTCAAAGATGTTATTATTCTGAAAAAAGGGTAATTACCATTACCATTAAATATTTATGTTTTTAAACTACCCATAGGCCCCAATCAGAGATGAATGCTAGGTGCTCTGCAAACATTTACGAATATCCCAACCTCAAAGACTTCACAATTTAAGAAATATTATCAAATATATTATACTTTATAGAATGCTTTTTAGAAGCAAAATGAATGTGTTCTTAGGCCAAAATATATGCACTGAGCCTATGATCTGCTGTGTCTGCATCTATATATATCAATAATTCTAACATTTAGGCGTCATTTTCCTAATAGACCATAGCAAAAAGCAGAACCAGAATAACTTATTCTTGTAAATATAGAGGACAGTTAGACAGTGTGGGACTGTGCTACACTTCAAACAATCCTATCCTTAACTTTGGAAGTAGGAGTGGTATTGTCATTTACCTAAAATTATCTCCTCAACTAGAAAAGGAGAGACAAGAAAGATAAAGTTCATGAAAGAAAAAATATTTTACAGATAAGGTATATTGCCATATGAAGATATAAATATATTCTTCATTTTTACTAATGCTACTTTCTCCATACTCTACAAGCCTCATGTAATAATAAAGCCCTAAGAATTGAACCTAAATAGAAAACACTACATTGGGATGTTTAAACAAGAGTACTGATAAAACCAAACTAATTTCCACCCTAATGAGAGACAGTAGGGCATCGGCTGGAGTGAGACTGAGCCCAGCTGTCAGCTCAACCCTTTGGGATGGGTCTGGACTAACTGGAGGGAGTCTGGAACTTGACCTCTGAGGAACAGAGAAAGAATCTGGGATTGCTTAGTCCCCAGAGGAGATGACTGGCAGGGACACAGTAATGTTCTTTGGATACATGAAAAACAGAGAAGAGTGAATAGACTCCTCTTTATGTCCAATTTAGATGGGACAAGTGGTAATGGAATTCAATATGTCAAGGGAGATTTAGGTCAACAGGTTGCCCAGGAAGACTGCAAAAACTTTGTTGCAGAAGGTTTTTAAGAATGGAGTGAACAAACTTTCACCAATAATGGCACAGCTATCCTGCCTTTGAGAAAAGAAGATGGCCTCTTCAGAGATCCTTTCCCGTCTTGTTTCTACAGGGCTTTATGCTCCAGAACTAACCACAAGCCCACAACTGTAGACTCAGTTTTATGCCTAAAAAGCTGATGAAACTCACTGAAATTTTAAACAACAAAGAACTCACAAGTATGCTGAAGAATATGCATCTTTGATACAGTCTAAATAAGGATAACATGTGTATTTCAAGATCACATTTCATTTTAGTTCTCCTAAACAAGAATGTACAATAATACTATCTGTACAAAGGTAACCCTGAAGAAAACTTCACACTGATGAGTCATTAGCTGGCATAAGTAGTGCTTTTATTATAAGCAACATTAGTATGGCCGATTATTTGTCAGGGCTCTGACTGCACCAACAGGCTCTGCAACCTCTTCTGCCCCCTACCCAGGGGTCTGGCTGCCCATACTCAAGGCCAGCTCTGACCAGGGGCCAGGTTGCACCAGATTGTTCTAAACTGTGAGAAAAAGAGAGGTGTGAGAAGGCACTTTCTTACCTCCCTATATGTATCAGTAACATATATGTTATTTTCAACTTTAAAAAGGTCACACTGGTTATTTTTGAAAGGCAGAAAAACCTGTTTCATCCAAACGTATCGTTCATTTAGCAAGAGCAAAAAGCTGACAAGAAAATGTATAGGAGAGAGGAACTACAGCCTAAACAAGGGACAAATGTAGGCCCTGTTAAAATGAGAAACAACACTCCACAGCTGGAACCCAGGAGCTTTGAAATCTCCAGACACGAAGAGGATTTTCAGCTCTCTGTGATGAGTTCCACTAATGATTATGGATTTTCTGTAATAATAACCCTGCCTTTCTAAAAGTACTTGGAAATTTTCTGTTCTCTGGGCCATGGTACTTCACCACCTGTGTAAAGCAGGTAAGTTTTAGGCATTCGTAGGAAGAGCTGTATGCTACTCACTGCAGGCTTGGAACCGAACGATGGGATTTCCTTCCAGAACCTGAGAATCTGCTATACTCCTTGCTCTTTTGAGCTGTTTATTCTGGAGCTCAGCCTGCGTTTGCAAGGTCATGCCGGATAGTACTCGTCACACTATGTTGCTTATGCGTGAAATCCTCATTTTGTGCAAAGCCCACAAATATATATTCATGTCATAGTATCTTAATGTCCAGGGATAGTTTGAGCATGCCAAAGTGAGGGTGGCTGCCACGCATGCTCTGCATTATTGTGGCAAAACAAGACAAAGCGGAAAGTTGTCAGTTTGAGACTGAAAATCTTATGGGAAGGTTAACATAGCTGCACTTCTGGAACTGGGTGGCTGGTAAAATAAGATCTTGCCTTCTGTGTCTGCAATTAGTTACGTGTGAAGTAGACATACCAAAATTGGAAGCAGTGTCCATTTGGTAACAGTAATTATTATTGTGAAGCCATTTTCAAGGTGGGATTATGGGCACTAAACCGCTGGGACTGACTGTGCTGCCCATGCGTTAAATCCTCATTTTGTGCAGACTTAATGAAAAAGATAGTTTCTTGTAATATCTTCTGGTTTGTCAGTTGCTTCTACACAGCAGTATAGGGATGCTTTCTTTGTGCTTAATACACGCAGTGATAGTTTTTCCACATGCTCTTTCTGTAAATGTTCCACCACAAAACATTCTGTTAAACTGGAATTAAGGTTGTAAATACGCATTAATAAGTTAGAGTAAATTCTGTACTAATTGACTGCCCATACAACCTCAATGACATCGATGGAGAAAAAGCTACTGAAGAATATTACGAGCTGGATTCTTATCCCAGAAATGCTACTCTATCTCCACGTACAGGGGTATGACAGAAAATCAAATCCTGTGCCGAAGTTTAGAAGAAACACATGCTGGAGTATCAGGAATGCAAGATTCAACTGACACTTTACAAACATGAAGGACAGGATTGCTAAAGCACTCATCAGTGGCCTAAATCTGCTCTCATTGGAGTAAATGACATTTTTACCACTGACATTAATGACAGTAGAACTAAGCCAGTAATCAGCACTTTTGGAAATCCTATCCTTTGTGATTCAAATTAAATAAAATATTTAGGTTTCTTTTGTTCCCTCAGCTAGCCTTTTTGTAAAATCTTATCAGCCTTTCACCTACAGTTACATCACAGGATGCACTACACATCCCAAATTTACTTTATGTTCCAGCCACATGAAACACATCCTACTGGCAAAATCTCTGCTAATTCCTTGAGGAATCAAAGTCAGTATTATTTTTCCTCTTAGCCTTCACAGATCTGTCCATTCTTGTGGCTGACATTAAAATATTTCTTTTCTCTCAGTTTCATAAGATCATATTTTATTGTTAACATACTAGGAGAGACAACAGTATCAAAGAGAAAACAAATCAGACAATAATTAACAGAAAATTAAATAACAGTAATTAATAAAGATACCTTCCAAGTAGTCTCTGAATGATAATGCAAAAATTCACAATGATGTTCTGAAGCTTGGTTTACTCCTACCTGTAATTTACTTTGAGGTCTTAGCATAAAAGGTGCTTAGAATTGAAAAATATCATTATTAGCATAAAAATGAGGTGTGTTCTACCCATTTTGTGTATTAATTTAGCAGAATATATTATTACACAACTTTATACTGTAAGTACAAGGTCACACAGGATATGACTTGTCACACTGTGTTGCCTATGCATGAAATCCTCATTTTGTGCAGAGCTCCAAAATATATATTCATGTCAGAATATCTTACTGTCCAGCAACAGCCTGAGAGTTTCATTCTATCACATACTGGGGAAACAGATTCAACGTCATTTGAGAGGTCTCTTCTTCTCTCAATACCCGAATGAACTCTCATTAATCAAAAAACTACAAACGCTCACCAAAAGTTAACTGGCCCCATTAATGCTCTTTTCAGTCTGAGACAAAATTATATCCATTCTAACAGCATTTCTTTATCATTTCTGTGTGACTGTCCCAGTCAAACAGGCAAAACATGGCATCGATTTCACAAAGTCAGTTACCAGAAAACAGAACCTGACTTTACTAAATACAGTAAATGAAAGAAATGGTTTCTATGGATGGAATTTCACTGGCACTGGCAGCATTGCATTAACTGCATAGATCTCAAGACAACCCTGGAGATAACATGACCTTCTCCAAACTTCCAATCAGCCTCGTAAGCATACATTAAAAGTTCGAGCTTTGCATACATTGAACATACCAATGTTGGTAGTTTGATAAGCACCAGTTCCTACCTAACTCTTTTAACTGCCTACCCATCAACTCGTCATTGTTTTGCTCAGCTTCAAATGCTCTTCTCCTCTAAGCACATTCATACTGAAGAACAGGAATCAACAAAATTCTTTGAATATTAAGTCTCAGCGAAGCCTTTTTTTACCAGACATAAAATTGAGATTATTGTATAAGCAGTTTCAAGTGGGACAGCTTGCTCAACAAAATCCTTAAATCTAAGGAAATGTCAGTTTGCATTAAGAAAAGAAATATTACCTTGGTCTTCAATAAAACAGCAGAAAGCAGTAGCAGTTTAGAGATCAGAGCAGATAACCAGTGTAGCCTCCAGACCAGAACAGCAGGTTTGACATGATATTCAGGTAAATAGCCAGCACAGAACAGCAATTAACAGTTAACAGGCCACTTAAATTAAGAGCTTTCCTTGAGAAAACGGCCTCAGACCTTCAGAGACTCTAGGAACTGACAGTTCAAGCAAGAAGTAAAGTGGCAAAAAATCGAAGTGTATGGGGAATTTCCTTAACAGGCCTTTTATCCACAGAAAGTACAAACCCAGAAACGCCTGGCCTAAATGTAGATGTAGGGGAATGTCGCTGCAGAGAGGAGGGAATAAAGAGAGGAAAGGAAACAAGATTTTGAGCAATGACCTTCTGAGAAATGAAGACATAATTTTTGTCACTGATGTCTTCAGAGCCAAAATTTTGCATGGGTTAACACTTAGTGCTAACCTGTGCTTTGTAACTTGGTCATGCAACTTGCCGCCACAACACCTGGTAATGCAGGAGAGCCGCAGAGGGTTTGCAGACCGACAGGGATCTTGTGGAACAGCTACTGCTTGCAGGCCACTGTGACCCTCCCTTAGTGCGCTCTCTGCTCCCACAGACCCAGCAAAGAGACAATCACACGGGAGAATCGAGCCCGCAGTCCTTGTACAAGCACACTCAGCAGTGGCACCGATGCGCATCTCCACGTTTCTGTTTTCCTCATTGCCTGAATGCACCACCACCATTTCGATATGACCACGGGCTTCTCAACATCGCAACAGTAAACAACTGGAAAACCCGCTGCCTTGGGAAGGGGCATGGACGAGCACAAAAAGTGGGTGCCTTAAACTCCCAGAGTCCTAACACCCATTTTGTTTACAGTGCCTCATGACTCTACAATATCAAGCATTTTTCTTCCATTCATGAATTTGACCTCCACAAACTTTTTAAGTCAAGCAGTTCAAAGAGAAATAAAGATGTGTCTTTTCTACCTCTCTCAATCTCACATAGCTCAATGCACTCTGAATTTGGGACGTGCGGAAGCACAGGCCCAGAAACACGTGTAGTTTCAGCACTGTGTCAGAAAAAGCCTGGAACCACCAAGTGTCTTCCCCAGCCCCTATGTCTAACTACCACAGTAGTCATTTTGCTGGTCCTTCCGCTCCCAGCCTCTACCCTCACAAAATAGCCTGCAAAACCCTGGGAGCAATACACGCACGTTGCCACCTCCCCAACCCTCCGATAAGAGGATGAGTGCAGTGCAGCAGGACCCAAAGCCCATGTGTTTGTACCACAAAACCAGGGGGAGGCCACTGCCTGTTAGCCAGATCCAGGAGGGCAGAGGTGCCAAATTAGTTTTACAGCTTTCTAGCACTGAGATGTGTTTGGGGCCAGGGGACTTTTTGATGGACGCATGGGAGCAACACTTGCAGTCGGCTTGAAAGGGTCATTTCCACATTTCACAGCAGTGGCCAATGGGGGGCCCAGTGTCAGATCAGCAGTCTGGGGGCTGCTTGTCGGCGGAGGCGGGGGGGGACCCAGGCCCCCTTCTGGCTGTTTCACAGGGCCCACTGGGGGGGGGCAATTCTGAGGAACACCAAGAGCAGCTAAACCCCTTACTTGGTTGAGGGAGGTTGGGGGCAAGAGGGTTTGGGGGGAAAAGAGGTTAGGAGGGAGGGTGTTTTAGTGCAAGGAAGATTGGGGGTGATGCTGTTTGTGGGTGAAGCTGTTTGTAAGCAAGGGCATTTGGGAATGAGGGAGACTGGAACAAAAGCATTGGGGGCAAGGATGTTTGGGAGCAAGGCTTTTGGAGGCAAGGACCCTTGAAGGTGAGGGTGTTTGAGGCTGAGGGCACTTGGGGGCAAAAGCATTTAGGGGTAAGAGCACCTGCAGGGCAAAATCATTTGGGGGAGAGGGCATCTGGGGACAAGGGCATCTGGCGGCTGAGCGTTTGGGTGTGAGGGTGTTTCGGGGAGAGGGTCTCAGTGCTGTTGCTAGCTCCCGACCGCCTCCTCTGGTCCCCACGCTCGCTCTGTGCTGCGGCTATCGGACACGGGGAGCAGGAGC